ACCAAATTTCAAGCCGAGTAAATGAAGTTAGAAACTTTAGATAATCAACAGAAAATCAACTTTAGTTATTTTATTCTGTATTCTTTTCTTATTTTAAAGTAAAATAAGGGTTTTCTTTTGTTACCTGATTTGTTGCATTGTGATAAAATATATCTCTAAGATATAATAAGTTAAAAATTTGTTGTTGGAGAGGAAGTTATAAGAAATCTATGCTAAAGATGTGTCTGCATTTATGTTCTAAATTCTACATAAAACACATTTTGAAAAATGTCATTTGTATTCCTTTAAAAATAATTTGTTCTAAAATGTTTTTTCTATAAATATTAATAGAAGTTGGTCGTTGGCTCAGACCAAGTTTGGTTTTAACTGTGGTAAAATGAAGTTATGTTAGCAGTCAGCACCTTCATGTTGTTTTATTACTGTTCTTATACCTATAATGACTTTACTGCATCTACCTCTTCTTTTTATATTTGAACACTGCTAAAAAAGATGTATGTTTTCTAATTAGTTGTGTAGAAAAAAATACCCCAAATAGTGGAGTTTGTAAAGAGGCCAAAAGAGTGCTTCCAGGTCGTTGACGACTCTGACTGCAGAGGTGGTGATGAATGGAGAAAAGATGCAGCAGGACCCCTTTGATTCAGAAGTGGCCTCGTTTTAGCAATAATCAGGGTGTGAATGTGTCTTCACTGATATGACTCCTCTGTTCCTGAAGCCCAAAGCGCTGGCAGGATTAGATGTAGGCCCACCGACATCCTGTTCCTCTCCTCTTCTTCTCCTGTTTCTGCTGTCATTTGCTTTTCTGTTGCGCTCTGTTCTGCCTGACGTCTCCTTCTTTTTTTTTTTTTCCACTTTCTCCCTTTTTATTTTTTTTCCATCAGAGGTCACGGCTCCGCAACTCGCCGTGACACTTTCGACTGACGGGAGTGACATTTGCTGTCCCCGTCTGGCGCTTTCAGTGACACATCCTCCCTTTTCATGCATAACAATCCAGCAATACTTGCAAGCTTTTTGTCTTTATGTTCTACATTTATACCAACCTCACTTCCTGTCATGCTTTTACACTAATTCTAAAAGAACCTTTTCTAAGTGCTACTTAAAGGGGTAGTCTAGCTATTTTTGAAGCCCTTACCAGAAAAGGGCAAAAATCTTTTTCCAGGCTTAAAAAACACCACTTATTTAAAAAAAACATGAAAAAAAAATCACACTTTAGCTAAATTTAATTCATTCACACCAGTATGATGTTGTTTCCTGGAACACTTTAGATAAAGAGAAAAAAAGAAAAAAACACACGTAGACAACCCAGAGCTGGCAGTATCATGTAACCCTCCTTCATCCTTCATCCCCCAATGACCCCAGCCGTGACACAGATGAGAGCGCTGGCAGACCAACAACCTTCTCTGGAGCACTCAGCTGTGCATTACTGCAGAAGGACCCTGAGGMCCAGCGGGAGCCCTCTTCCCATGCTGCTTATTCACTGTTGCTAAACATGGGCTGTGTCTCAATTCAGGCTCTTCAGCTTACGTAGACCACGGCCCACGGAGGCCACACTGTGCAGTCCAGGTAGGCTGCTTAAAACGGCTGTGAAATAAAACGATGTAGCCCAGTGGTTCCCAAACTTTTTACCTTCTGATCCACAAAATATTCATGGCAAAAACTTGTGACCCCAAATATTATTGGTCCGAGTACACAAACTTTGTTAATAACCCTAAAAACACAGGCTTTTTGACAATCTAAACAGCTTGTACACAAATATAAATACTTATTTATACATATTTTGTGTTTTTGTAATAGTTAGGGGGGGCAATATTACATCAGCAATTATTTTATTAACCTTTAAATTGATTTCTGGTGATTATCCAAGGTGCTTCATGACCCATATTTGGGTCCCAAGCCCAACTTTGGGAACCAAAGTGCAGTGGTTCCCAAACTTTTCAGCTTTTGACCCACAAAATAACAGCAGCAGAGACCTGTGCCCCCAACTACTTTTGTATGATAAACATTTGTATCAGGTCAACTAAACATGGGCATAGCAACAATATTTTTATACTACATTTATCCATTTTAAATATACTAACCTCACTCCTTTGTACTAAGGCAAAAATGTAATTAATTCAGAAAATCTTTTCAGGACCCCACCTTGATGTTTCGGGACCCCACTTTAGGTCCCGACCCCAACTTTGGGAAACACTGGTGTAGCCTTCGCATGACGTATGTTTGCATGACCACACTCTGTTGGCAGCACAACGGCTCAGTGGTTAGCATCGACGCTTCACAGCAAGAAGGTCCTGGGTTCAATTCCTGCTTCGGATTTGGGGTCTTTCTGTGCGGAGTTTGCATGTTCTGCTCGTGCTCGTGTGGGTTTTCTCCAGGTACTCTGGTTTCCCCCCACCCCCAAAAAACATGTAGATTGCCTCCAGGCCTCCCTTGAAAAAGAGATCTGAGATCTCAACAGGACTTGCCTGGTTAAATAACGGCAAATAAATAAATAAATAATGATTGGTTTTATATCGAGTGCCTTCAAACTTAAAATGCGTTGACACTGGAGGAATAACTTTACAATTAAAAACGTTACACGTAAAAAAAAAGGTTGATAATTTGCATTGAGCTTCAGTATCAGTACTTGAAATTGCAACTCATTTAACATCTCATTGCAGCATAAATTTCATCAGTTGAGTTACTAAATGTACATTTAAAAATACAATTATTTGGTCCGACTTGGTACAAAAAAGAAACAAACTCAGGTTGAAGTTTCATTATTATCCTATAAAGTGTCACCAAGGAAAGAGAAGATTAAAACCACCT